CAGTAGCTATTTGACCATAACAAGGCAGGAAGAGGAGCTGTGGGTCTGATGTCCTCTCTATCAAAATATACCCTCCCCTTCCTGGACCCAACTCACTTGTCATTCAGAAAATTGTCTGATTTAGAACTAGAAGGAATATTAGACTTCATCCAGTACAACTCCCTCACTGAACAGATGAGAAAACTGAGGTCCAGAGAGGTAAGGTTAATTGCCCAAGAACACAGGCAGTAATTAGCAGAGCTGGGAATTAAACCTAGCTCCTGACTCCAAAACCAATCCTCTTTTACTAGAACATGCTGTCTCACATAATTTCATGGTTGGAAGGGACCTCCAAGATCACCAGGTCCATCTACCTGCAGTGGTCAATAGAAGTAGCACCCTGGGACAAGAGGCCTCGCTTTGTTTCACTGCCTCTGCTTTACCCTCCCGGTGACTGAACAAAAAACATATAACCCTCCCTGTCCTAAGGAGTGGAGAAAGTCAGATGAGTCATCAACATATTTCCTTTGGAAGCTCTTCCTGTCAGTGTTTCAAATTCCCATGAAGCTGAGGGCTGGGCTGGCCTCAGGTCCAGTCACAGGAAACTTCCTACTGCAGGAAGATGGAAAGCAAGGTGAACCAGGGAACCAAGGTACTCAGTCACTCCCTAGAGGCTGAGGCCTAGGCTTCTCATCCCTGCTGAGGCCAAACACTCTCAAAGCACCTACAGATCTAGGCCTGACAGCAATGGAGGTTTCAATGTTTAGAGGGGAAAGGGGAGAGGAGGTACCTGGGAGACCCAGGGTCAGACTTGTGTAAACAACACAAAACAAACTCTAACCTAGGAAACACCAGCTAGGCAAGTCATCAAGAGCTTCCCTCCTACTCCTATGAAAATTCTCCCATTAGGGAAGAAAAAGAAAGTACGCAGTTGCCACTCTGTACATTCTCCAACTTCTACCATTCTCCCAAGGGGTAGATAACGTCTGACTGGAAAGCAGAGCAGTACTGGGACTAACACAGAAGTCTGAGTTTAAAGGTGAGACCCAGGACCATCCCCTCCATCTTTATGGCACAAATGAGCTAACTCTTTAAGGACAGCAAAAAGGGTCAGGCTAGAACTAGCCAGCCCTTTGCTACACACCTTCTTCCTTTACCCTCACCAAAAGCCTAGCATGTGTAGGTAACCTCTTAATATACTGCTGAATGAAGTTCCTCCTCTGAAAAGTGAGGGGCTTCAACAAGCGAGGACTTATGTGAAAAGCACCATATCCTCAAAGCTGCTGAGGATACAGACCAAAATGAATTAGTCTCTGACCTCGAATAAATATAGCACAAGGTAAATAATACAGGCAGCTACGTGGCACAGTGCAAAGAGTTTGGGGCCTGGAGTCAGAAGGACTGAGTTCAAATCCAGTCTCAGATACTTACTAGCTGTGTGACTCTGGACAAGTCATTTAACCCTGTTTGCCTCAGTTTCCTCATCTTTAAAATGAGCTGGAGAAGGAAACGGCAAACCACTCCAGTATGTTTGCCAAAGGAACCTCCCTCCAGTCCCTTTCCCCCCACCCCTAAAGAGGTCATGAAGAGTGGGAAAAGACTGGAGCTGACTGCACAACTCAGGAAGAAGTGAACACTTAACTGGGAGGGGAGAGAGGGAAGAGGATTGGGAAAGTGGTTTAGGGAAGGCTTCAAGTAGCAGGTAATAACTGAATTGAGCCTTTAAGATCATGATTATAAGAGATGACATCCACAGTTGTAATAACATTCTACTACCATTCCTTCTGGTCCTGACATATGATTCCATGACTCTCATGGTGGGATCTTGGGGTCCTCACCATACTGTGTGGCAGGAGAGCTGATTTCCCCAGCTTGTTGGCTGCCTGGAGAGTTGGAGCAGAGGACCAGCTGCCAGACAATACCTTGCCTTTACAGAGTGGCAGTACAGAAGGGGGCCCCCAGATTCCATGCCTAGCATGGCCATGATCACCCTGGGCAAGCTACCTGCCCAGTCCATACCTCAGACTGTCACAAAATATTAATGCTGGGGCAACTAGGTGGCGCAGTGGATAGAGCTCTGGCCTTGAAGTCAGGAGTATCTGGCCTCAGCCACTTGACACTTACTAGCTGTGTGATCCTGCGCATGTCACTTAACCCAGATTTGCTTCACTAAAAAGCAAAAAAACCCCCAAACTTAAGCAACTCTTGGCAGATTCTCTGATTCAACCCTTCATTTTATAACGGACAGGGAGGCTCAGAGGGGGGAAACTGACTTGCCCAAAGTCAAACAGAAAAGCTAGTAGCAAAAAGAGGTCTTTGAGAGGGCATAAGGAGTAATCCAGCTTGCTCATCACCCACACTGGTGTGTGTCAGGAAGATAAACTACAAAGTGTTTCCTAAGGCCTTTCAGCATTCTGGGTCATAGATCTCTCTTCTTCCAACCCCTGCCAAAAATAGGTGCTCTAGAGGAAATGGGGAAATATGATTTCAAAGCTCATCTCCTATGCTAGTCCACAGGAATATCTGCAGGCCCAAGGGCTGCCTAACCACAAAGTAGTCTCAAGGTCAGGAAAAAAGTCATCATCAGGATGAAGACCTTACTAAAAAAAAGAATTCAGAGAAACCAGACTAACCAGAGACCAGAAGTCAGGAGCAAGAAGTGGCTAACACATTTTCCATTCTAGTTCTGCCCTAGCCGTGGTCACTCTGATTTCTCTCAAGCCTCTCTTGGTCCCTGGAGTCTGGGATATCAGGTCTGGTGATGAGGGCTGCGCAAACACACCAGAGTCATTTTTTGTGAGCTGGGCCCTTACTAGGCACTGTGCTCGGTGAAATCAGATGCCCAGCTACTTGGGTAGTAGTCAAAGCAAAAGATATACAGTAACCAGGAAGATGGGTGAGGAGGGGAGGAACACAAGTTGGTGCTTTCCTTCAAGAGGGTCAGAGAAAGGTCAGAGTTCAGGTAGGATTTAAAGTGCAGAGAACAGTGATCTGTCACCAGACAGACGGCCAAAGTGCAGAGAGTTCCAAGTGTTGCCCTGCAGAGAGGGGCGTGTGAATTCCATGAGGGTGGAGAGATGTAGGAAGAAGGAGGTACTGTAATTAGGCAGGAGAATGGTGGCTGAAGGTCGGAGTTCAATAATCATAGAATCAAAGAATAGTTCCTGAGAGAAGTGACTTCAGGTAGTATGTAGCCCAAATTCTTCATTTTAACCAAGAAAACTGAGCTCAGAAAGAACAAAGGACTTGGCCTAAGGTCATTAATTTAGTTAATAGCAAAGCTGGGCCTCCTGACTTCCAATTCTGTGCTCTTTCCACTATTCAAAACTAAAGCTTAGTGATAAGCAGTCCAGAAGAAAGCTGGGAGTTCTCACCTCATTTATTCAATCATTCATTCATTCATTCATTCTAAGCACTATTATGCCCAAAACACTGTGCTGAGCACTGAAGGAGACAAGGCACAGCCCTTGCCTCACAGAGCTTGGAGAAAACACCTAGCATATCTAGAGATTTACAGTTTTCAAAGCACTTATTTTCACCACAATCACAATAATAAGGCGGGGGATAACAGCATTAGTCTACCCGAGTGACCCTAAGAACCTGAGGTAGTCCAGACATGCTTCAGGGCTCCTAAGGTGAACAAGAGGATCTGTGCCATTAACAGGGGGGCCTGGGTCAATGATAACAACCCACGTCCAGGCCCTGCTTTGCACCACAGCTAGCACAGACCTCTCCGTACAGTGGATGCCCAATTAATCTAGATGATGAACCAAGGAGGGGAAAAAAATGACAAGGCATTTTGCAAACAAAGGACTGTCTCACTGCAGCAGCAACTCTGAAGGTTTCAGCTTTGGGCATGATAGGGAAGGAACTGTTTGGCCACCTGACCAAATGTCATGATGTCTTTATTAAAGTACTGGCCCCATTATCCTCCATAATTACAGGGGAAGGAATGCAATCATCTAGCTTTTGAAATGCCAATAGAACCCTGCCAACTTCCTTCTTCCCTCATTTAGGTATCACAATTCTATCACTTGAGATTTGCTGGGAGAAAGGCCAGAGAACCCCAGGGGCTGTGAATAGGGAAAAGAGTTAGGCCTAGAGCAAAGGCCAAAGAATGGAGAGGATGGGAGTTCCTGGGGACACAAGACTGTAATCCCTTTAAGGAGGGAAGTAGGAAGGGTCCCCAACACAAAGATGACAAAGCTTTGGAAATCTCTGGGTAGGAAGACCTTGAGGGAGAAAGGCAAAAGGACATAAGGAATAAGAGTGGAAGCATTAGAAGAAGAGGCATTGGAGATGCTGACGTTGCCCTTTGATAGAAGGGTGGAATCTGTGAGTCCCCTGAATGTAAAAAGAGCACAGGAGCTAGAGGGACGCCCAAGCCCATGGGAGGTGGGGGTGGGGAGGGGTCTCACTTGTCTAAACTGGGCACAGGGGAAAGAGGGATGGTTGGAATCTTGAAAAAGCTGGGTGAACTTCAGGCCTTTAGGGGAGCAAACCAAGAAAGCTCCCCCCCCCCGCGAGACTGAGAAGAAAGACAATGTCTCTCCCACATACACCTCCCATGCAGCAGACAAGCAAACACTGGATTCTCATCATGCAAGTTACAAAACACCTGAACCTCTTTGGGGCTGGGGAATCCCAGGGTGGGCCTGTAGTTACTTAATGCTAGGTCCCGCCAGATTTTAGAAGGCCCCGGACATCAATCATTTTCTCCCCTCTTCTTACCCCCAAGAAAACCCCTAATTAAGGGTTAGTGCTGGGAGAAGCCAGGGGCTAGCAGGATCTTTCGGGTGGTCCCTGAAAGGCTCGAAGGGCGAACGCTGCGGTGGGAAGGTTCTAGGCTGGGGCTGTCGTCCCTACCCCAGGAGAGAGGCAGGCTGGGGCAGAGGATCGCTTCGCGGGAATGCGGATGGGGATGCAGACGGGGGAGGGGCCCGGACCAGGTCGGGGGTCCTGGTAGAGGCAGGATGCACGCACCGGGCCGAGGAAGGGCCCCGCCAGTCTGTCTGTCCTACCTGGAGAGTAGAGCTGGGCCAGCTCACGGGCTCCTGCGTGCTGCGCTCCCCAGCGCCGGCCCCCGCCGTCCGCTGCTGCGTCCGCCGCCTCCTCCCCCTCGGGGCCGCGTCCCGGCTCCGAAGGCTCGTCGGGCTCCGAACACCCGCGCTCCCCGCCTCCCTCTTCCCCGCCGCCCCCGGAGCTCGCCATGGCCCCGGTCCTGGCCTCGCCCCCGCGCCCCCTCCCCGGCTCTCTAGCGGCGCAGCAGCTCCGACCCGCAGAACCGCATGGGATGATCGCGTCTCCCAATGAACTGGCAGGGGCCGAAGCGGCAGCGGCGCCGTGACTGGGCCTCGCCCGGACCCCTGCGCGTCACAGCCAATCAGCGCCCGCTCCAGGGGCGGTCCTAGCCAATGGCGAGAGAACTTGGGGCGCGATCGGCAGTCTGGCCAATCCTAAGCGTTCGGGTGAGGGAGGGAGGAGGGACACATCTGGGGGCCGCCCAGAGGCACATCTGGCGCCTTCTCCGCCCCCCCCACCCCTGGCTAAGTAAGCTTCCCCAGACTCCAGCCCTGTAGTCTTTCTAGTGGGTCTCAATTTTGGGGGCCCCCAATGTGGACAGCGTCCTTGTTAGAGGGAGAAGCAATAGTAATCCCAGAGCTATAGAATTGCTATGACGACTAGATTTCCAGATCAAGGAGATGTGGATTCGAATGCTGACTGCCACTTGTAACAGTGGCCTTGGGGAAACAGTTATCGTAACAGGGGTTGGACTAGATGATCTGAAGATAAATCCTAGGAATGTAAGAGCTGGATGTCTTTGATTAACAGCTAGGGCTACTCTTGCTGTTCAGTCCCGTCGGATTCTTCATGACCCAGTGAACCATAACCATTTCCTCCTCAGTGGATTAAGTTAAACCGAGGTTAAGTGACTTGCCCAGGGTGATGTATCTAGTGAATGTGTGTGGCTGGATTGATTCCAGGCCCGGTACTCTATCCACTGAGCCACCTAGCTGCTCCAACCACCTATTTTCCAATCTGAGTCTCTAGAGGGTCGATTTCCTGCTCTGCCTCTGGGCTTAAAGTGGGGTAGATCACTGATTTAATTTCTAGTCCATCCATATTATCAAACACTTTCTAAGGTAGAAGAGACTTTAGAGACCATCTGTATAGCCCCAAACTCTAATTCTTTTCCCTCCGTCCACATAGGGTATCACACGCTGACCTGTGGGTGCTCTCCCCAAAGGGAAAGAAAAATTTCAATCTCTGAAACTTTTTTTTCCCTCCCTTTCTCTTAAAGACCAGTCTCAACCCCAAATCATTCTGGCTCTCAATGACTGGCCAATAAAAGCTCACAGGCCAAGCCCTATTTGGTCATGTTTTGGGCCTTGATTGGCTTTAGCAATTGTTTCTATTTCGGCCAGAAACCCTGAGGGTCTTCCCCTCCCAGATCTATTTTTTTTAAGAGGCCATTCTTTGCTTCACGCCTTAATCCCCTGAATAGGCTTTACCTTGGTCAAACTGAGACCTGTTAAGGACCTTAGCTTGAAAAGACTAAGGTCTCCCACTGCATTCTGGGCCATCTCCTGTCATCCTGATCTGTATCTAGTCACTGGACCCAGATGGCTCCAGAGGTGAAAGTGAAGCTATTCTCTCTGTCCTAAAATAGCCCACCACCCCCACCCCTACCCCCACCCCCATTTACACCTGTTCAGGCTGTCAACAAGCAAATGTATTAAGTGTTTACTCTGTGCCAGGCACCGTGCTGAGGGTTAAAGATACAAAGAAAAGCTAAAATAGTCCCTGCCTTCAAGAAGTTCACATTCTAATGATGGAGACAACATATTAGCAACTAGTTTGATAACTACAGCACGTGTACAGAGTAGGAGGAAGACAATCTGAGTGAGGGAAAAACTAGCATCTGTTGGGGGGTGGGGGAACTAGGAAAGGCCTCCTGAAGAAGGTAGGATTTGAGCTGAGACTTGGAAGAAGCCAGAGAAACGCAGAGGTGAAAGTGCAGGTAATTACAGGTGTTAGGAACAGCAAGCGCAAAGTCAGGGAGACAATGTTAGTGAATATTGGCAATGTTAGAGAAACTGCAAGAAGACCAGTGTTTCTGGAATGTAGAGTTCATGGAGTCAAGAGTAACAAGACTGGAAGGGTAGGAAGGGGCCAAGACATGGCCTTTAAATGCCAAACAGAGGTGTTTATGTTTCGTCCAGAAAAAAGAAGGACCCACTGGAGCTCAATGAGCCAGGGAGAACATGATCAGACTGATACTGGCAGCTGAGTAGAGGATGAGTTGGAACGAAGGGAGATTTGAAGCAGGAAGACCAGTTAGATGTCTTCTGCAGGGGTCTGGGTGAGAGGTGACGAGGGTCTGAATAAGGGTGTAGCTATATGAGTGGAGAAGAGGGGAAGTATATGAGAAATGTTGTGAGAGTAGAAACAAGACTTGGCCATGGATTGAATATGTAGAATATATGAAAATGATACCAAGGTTTTAAGTCTGGGTGACTGAGAAAATACTGGTGTCCTGGACATTAACAGGGAATAATAAGACAGTATAACAGGAAGGGGGGAAGGTTTGGGGAGAAACATAATGAGCCTAGAGGATGTCTAGTGGAGATGTACCAAGAGGCAGTTGGAGATGCTTGACTATAGCTCAGCAGAGAGACTGTGGCTGGATATATGGACCTAGGAATCATCTGCAGAGAGATGATCATTGAAGTCATGGGGCTGATGAATTTGCCAACTGAGATAGTATAGAGGGAGAAGAGAACCCAGGACAGAGCCCTGGGAAACACTCATGATTTGGGGGCATGACATGAATGAGGAAGCAACAAAGGAGACTGATGAGGAGCAGCCAGAGAGATCGGAAGAGAATCGAGAAAGAGCAGTGTTACAAAAATGCAGAAAGTAAAGAATATCTAAGAGAAGAAGGTGATCAACAGTGTCACATGCTACTCAAAAGTCAAAAAAGATAAGGCTTAGGGGCAGCCAGGTGGTGCAATGGATGGAACTCCAGCCTTGGAGTCAGGAGGCCCTGAGTTCAAATCCGGCCTCAGACACTTGATGCTTTCTAGCTGTGTAACCTTGGGCAAGTCACTTAACCTCAACGGCCTCACCAAAAAGCAAAACAAAAAAGATGAGGATTGAGAAAATTAGGTTTGGCAATTAAGAGATTGTAAAGATTGTAAGAGATGGTAAATTTGGAGAGGTCAGTTTCTGTTGAATGATGAGGTTGGAAGCCAAACTGCAGAGGATTTAGAAGAAAGTGAGAGAAGAGGTGTTGGAAGCACCTAGTGTAGACGGCTTTCTCAAGGAGTTTAGCCACAAAAGAGAAGAGATGTGGGACAATGTCAATCATCGGGGATGGTTTCTACACATCTACAGTCAAATACTAAAACCTTTGATTTTCCCCAATTGGAAGTGAACTCTGTCTTTCCCTACAGAGGGAGTGTGGCATGTTAGACTTGGACTCTGGAAGTACTAAGTTCAAATTCTGCCACTAATTATTAGTTGCATAATGTTGGGCAAGTCACTTAACCTCATTAAGTCTCTTTCCTCATCTGTAAAATAAAGATGCTTGTCAACATTAGGAGAGCTTAACCAGGTATCTAAGAGTTACTTCAGTAGATAGCAGGGGAATCTATGATAGGATAGACTTTCTATAGGAGGTAGAACTTGAATTGATCTTTGAAGAAAGCTAGCTAGTTTCTAAGAAGGGTGGTAAGGAGAGAGTGCTGCTTAATAAATATGGAATTGACTTGAGTTAGGAAGACAGGCTTAAAAATAATAGTGTTTGCACAGAGCAACAGCCCTGGAATCAGGAGGATCTGAGTTCAAAAAAAAAAGAAAGAAAAAAATAGCATTCAATGGACTGATGCAAAGTGAAGCAAGCAGAACCAGGAGAACATTGTACAGATATTGTATGATTATCAACTGTAAATGACAGCTACTCTCAGCAATACAATGATCCCAGACAATTCCAAAGGACTCATTGTGGAAAATGGTATCCACCTCCAGAGAAAGAACTGATGAAGCCTGAATGCAGATCAAAGCATCCTATTTTCACTTTCTTTATTTTTTTCCCATGGGTTTTTTTTTCTTTTGGTCTGTTTCTTCTTTCATAATATGACTAATATGGAAATATATTTTGTGTGATTGCACATATATAACCTATATCAAATTGCTTGCTATTTTAGGAAGAGGGAAAGAGAAAGAGAGGGAGAAAATTTGGAACTCAAATATCTTTTAAAAAAGAATGTTTAAAATTATCCTTACATGTAATTGGAAAAAATTAAATACCATTTTAAAAATAGTGTTCAGCCTAGAAAGACAAAACTGAGAGGAAACATGAGGTAGGCTTTAAATCAATTAATAAGTTGAGGGGCGGGAAATAATAGGGAAAATAAAGTTAGCATTTCCTTCAATCATATAAAAGCATTATTCTAAGAGGCCCATAGGCTCACCAGAAGAGATCCATGACACAAAACAAATTAAAAAACCCCTGGTCTAGATGGGCTCTAAGTTTCTTTTTCACCTCTAAAGCTATGATCCCATAATCTTAAAGAAGTTTACCTGTGCCTTTTCTATGCATTTAAATTCCATATTGCATTAAAGTGATCTAAACCTGCCTCATTCTCCCTGCTAGATTGTAAACAACTTGTGGGCAGTAACCACAGTGGTTTCTTCTTTGTTCTAACACTATGAGTACTTGGGACTTAGTCAAAGAATCTCCAACTAATCCTTTGCATAAGAACAAAGGGACTTTAGTTCCCAAAGAGACCTTACAAAATGGGAAAGGACCCAAGTGTACAAAAATATTCATTGCAGCTCTTGTGGTATCAAAGAATTGGAAATGGAGAAGATGCCTGTCAATTGGGGAATGGCTGAACAATTTGTGGTATATAACACTATTTTGCCATAAAAAATGATGAGCAGGTGGATTTTAGAAAAACCTGGAAAGACTTACATGAACTAATGATGAGTGAAGTGAGCAGACCCAGGAGAACATTGTACACAGTAACAGCCACACTGTGTGATGACCAACTTTGATAGCCTTGGCTCTTTCAGCAATACAATGATCTAAGATAATTCCAAAAGACTCATAGTGGAAAATGCTGTCTACATCCAGAGAAAGAACTATGGAGTCTGAATGCAGTTGAAACATAACATTCTCTTTCCTTTTTTTCTTTCTCATGGTTTTTCCCCTTTGTTCT